GAGGGGAGTGGCCGGTAGAACCGTTACGCGCTCCAAGGCGCCCGCGCGCTCAAGGGCTCCGTTACGGCACGAGGACCTCGGTGCTAATCTGATTAATTAAGGACTACCTGTTTATATTGTGCCTCGCACCCACTTCCTTCCCTGCGGCGGCCGTACCGCGGCACCCTCGGTTATTAATTCTTGGATGACTAAATTATGGGTAGCGCTATTAAAACATTACCAGGACTAATGAGAGGCAATTACTTAGGAGATGAGCTAGGGCAAGGCGGAGCGGGGCACACGGGTAGTTATCCCCGCAGATTACGCTAATAAATCATCAGGTGCAAAGCAATACGGAGGCAAGGCCTGGCGTGGGGGGCAGACTGCATACAGGGTGTTTTTTCTTTTTTTCTTTTTTCTTTTTTTTTTCCTTCTTGCATAATTTTTTCATTAATCTCAATAGGACCCGTGTGGCGTAGATTGTTTTATTCCCTTAATACCGCGCCGGAGGGAGGAGGAGGAAGGGGGGATTTCACAATAATAATAATAATACAACTAATAACATCTTCATTATTTTCCCCAAGTCCCAACGCGGCGGGGGGCGCGGCCGCGGCCCGAGGTGTTTGCGCACCCGCGCAACGGGTCGCGCAACTAAGTTCCTTTCGTGGCTGGGGGGGCGCAGAAACAAGAGACGCAGGTTACCCTGCGTTGGCGCCCGATTTCGGATATGTCCAAATGTCCTCTTAAATTTCACCGATTTTCCCACTTCCCCTTTTCCTAGCGGGAAAAAAAAAGCTTCCCTTTAACAATCTTAACGATTTTCACTTTATAAGAAATTAAATGCGCTCCGGTTTGTTTTTAGTTTACGTTAGGAAGCTTTGCGCGTTTTCCATCTTTCTTTTTCACCTCTCTCCTTTTTTTTTCCTTTTTTTTCTTTTTTTTCGCGCCTGGTGCTAGGCAAGCAATTGATGAAACAAAACAGATTATAAGATTAGCAGCAGGATTTTGTGCATATTAATGATAGGGAAGGGCACCGAATGGGTTTGTAATTGCAGATCTTGCGCCGGGGATTGGGAACTGTAGCCCTGCCGCGGCAAAGACCCCCCTGTGAGGTTTTCACGTTGCAACTTAGGGGAAAAGTGGAAAAAAAGTAATTACCAGAGCACAACATTGAAATGTTAAAGCACTTATTCTTTCTTTCAGCGTTCTGTTTTAAAGGGGGGAAAACGGGCAAAATGGAAAATAAATTACTTTCAAATAAGTAGGTTAGCACCTGAATGCTGGTGCGCATTTCTCCCCTCTTTTTCTTTCTTTCTTTCTTTTTTTTTCCTCTCTTTTTTAATTCTAGCAATTATTTAGCAGGGCATTTGCTTCTGAACCTACCATCCGAGCATCAGAAACTGGGGAAGGGGGGGCACGGAGACCTCGGGAACGGAGGGGCAAGTCTGCCCGTGAGGTTTGAAGCAAATATCGCCGGGAAAGCTGTTCAAAGCCGCAGCCTGAAATTTAGAGGGATTTTTTTTCTCCTTCTTTTGGTTTTGTTTTGAAATCGGGGCTTGAAAGGAAAAGATTGTTTTGGTTTCCCTCTTCAACACAAGCATCAAACGGTATTTTAGCAAGGGATGCGTTTCACAACCAGAAATCCCTTCCAGGAACGGCATGTTCTCTGTAATATCGAGGAGTAACCTGACACTGAATTTTAACTCTTTTTAAGTGTCCCCTCTTGTTTCTTGGACTATTTCAGTGCTCC